AAGGCGCGATCACGCAGACTTCCCGGGGCCCTCGGAGCGGTTCCGGCTGGCTGATCGGGCTTGATGACGCCGTACCCCCACTTTTCCGGTGACTCTCCACAACCCGCCCGGTATAAGGGGGAAGCCCGCCGTCGCCGTTACGAAGGTAGAACCAGCTATAATACCAACGATGGTTGGATGATGCCAGCTGGGCTGGGATGTAGAGAGTCTTGCCGGTCTTGGCGCACCTGAAAGGGTGCACCATGACCCTCAACGCCTTCCGAGCCCCTTCGCTCTCTCCGACTTGGTGGTAAAACCACCGAAACAAATGGAGCCACAGCCCCGGTGGGGGGAGCGATCCCAGTACCCTCGCAAACGGCGGCGAAGATGGCCGCTGTGCGATGGAGTTAGCTGAAGTTGTGGAGCTCCACGCCGTAGTAGTGCGGGAGCGCCGCATGAATCTGGTCCGCCGGCAAGCCGAGGCCTCGCTCGTGGAAGACGACGAAGCTCACCACGTAGCCATCACGTGGCCTCGGTTCCGACTTCGTTTCCGGAGCAATCCACTCCGGCTCGTCGGGATCGGTGATCGGGCGGAGGAGACCGGCGTCCACCGGCGACTCTGGCTTCTCCACGGTGACGTCAGACCGCTCCGTGGATCCGCCGGAGGATGACGGGACCGCCACCATTGTGGTGGAGGACGCCTGCTTCTGGTGATAAATCTCTCTCTCTCTCTTTCAATCGATCTCTCGCCCTTCTTCTCCGGCGCTTTATGCTCTCAAAGAACGGCTTGAGGCGGCGAAAAGCAAATGCGAGCAAGGTAAGGAGGGGGGGGCGAGGCTCTTTACGTATTTATGCAGGGTAAGACGAAACCGCTGGGCGACGAAATCGGGAAGTTTCCCTCGGATCCGGCGCATATAATCCAGATCCGATATCTCCATACGTGCCCACCTTTTCCACATTTAATCAGCAGACGGTTATGTCCCATCCATCGACACCACGTCGCAAAGAACGGCAGCTCCCGAGAAGACCGCCTCAAAAGACGCGCCGTTGTCACCGATGGAAGGAAATACCCCGGTCGATTCCTTCCGAGCTAAGGAACCGGGCGCCGAGCCCGCCACTGATCGAGAGGTTCAATTTGGGCGTTTATGGTCTCGGCAACCGCTCGGGGACAGCAGTCGGGGACAACTATGGGCGAGCCCGTACATGGCGAAGCCCGTGCAAGCGATTGCTTGGGATGCCCTAAGTCGTGTCCGAGACCAAAGAGGAGTTCTCTAAAGGGGATCCCACCGGGAGGAGGCACCGAGCCCCCTAGGGCCAATCGAGCAGCCCGGCACCCGCTAGAGAAGCCTTGGTACTTTTTTGGAGCGTCTCTGGATCACTAGCCGACCCCTATCGAATGGGGCACGGGCCTACACTCGGACTTACCCGATAAAAGCTCACCGAAAATGTCACCGCTCGCGCCACCGAGGGTAGCTCGGCATGTTCCACCCCTCCTTCCGAGCGAAAAGGATGCGCGAGGGTCGTACAAAAAGCGAGGGGAACTCCTGATCGCCCTCTCACTCCACTTGGAGGCTCGGGGCTCTTCCCGCAACCTTGCCGAGACCCAATGACCTAGGCTCGCATGCTGAAGGGCTCGGCAAACAACCCCTCCTTCCGAGCGAAAAGGATGCGCGAGGGTGCATTACATAAAAAGCTAGGGAACTCTCGATCGCCTCTCACTACGTGCGGAGGCTCGGGGGCTCTTCCTGCAACCTTTCCGAGACCCAGCGAACTAGGCTCACACGCGAAGGGCTCGGCAAACAACCCCTCCTTCCGAGCGAAAGGATGCGCGAGGATCGTACAAAAAAAGCCAGCGAACTCCTGGTCGCCCCTCTCGCTACGTCTCTTGGAGGCTGGGGGCTCTTCCGCAACCTTGCCGAGACCCAGTGAACTAGGCTCTCGCACGCGAAGGGATCGGCAAACAACCCCTCCTTCCGAGCGAAAAGGTTGCGCGAGGGTCGCATACAAAAAGCCGGAGGAACTCCCGATCGCCCTCTCGCTTCACGTGCGGAGGCTCGGGGCTCTTCCTGCAACCTCTCACACCCGAGGGTCGGAAAACGCGACGAAAAAGGGCACCAAGCCCATTAAGATCCAGGGTATGAAGGTTGGGCCATCCAGGCCTCGGCAGCCGCCTTGAGGACAACAGAGTCGGGGACAACTATGGGCGAGCCCGTTACGCCGAGGCCTGTGAAAGCGATTGCTTGGGATGCCCTAAGTCGTGTCCGAGATCGCAGGAGTTCTCTAAAGGGATCCCACCGTAGGGAGGCACCGAGCCCCTAAGGGCCAATCGAGCAGCCCAGCACCCGCCAGAGAAGCCTTCGGTACTTTTTTGGGCGCGTCTCGAACCACTAGCCGACCCCTATCGAATGGGGCACGGGCCTCCACTCGGACTTACCCGATAAAAGCTCCTTTGGAAATGTCACCGCTCGCGCCCACCGAGGGTAGCTGGCATGTTCCACCCCTCCTTCCGAGCGAAAAGGATGCGCGAGGGTCGTACAAAAAGCCGGGAACTCCCGACGCCCTCTCGCCACGTCGGCGGAGGCTCGGGGCTCTTCCCGCAACCTTGCCGAGACTCGGTGGCCTAGGCTCGCTTACGAAGGGCTCGACAAATAACCCCTCCTTCCAAACGAAAAGGATGCGCGAGGGTCGTACAAAAAGCCAGGAGAACTCCTGATCGCCCTCTCGCTACGTGTGGAGGCTCGGGGGCTCTTCCTGCAACCTTGCCGAGACTCAGCGGCCTAGGCTCGCATACGAAGGGCTCGGCAAACAACCCCTCCTTCCGAGCGAAAAGGATGCGCGAGGGTCGTACAAAAGCCGGGGAACTCCCGATCGCCTCTCTCGCTACGCATGCGGAGGCTCGGGGCTCTTCCCGCAACCTTGCCGAGACCCAGCTGCCTAGGCTCGCACACACGAAGAAGGGGCTCGGCAAACAACCCCTCCTTCCGAACGAAAAGGATGCGCGAGGGTCGTACAAGAAGCCAGGAGAACTCCTGACCGCTCTCTCTCGCTCCAGGCGGAGGCTCGGGGCTCTTCCCGCAAACCTTGCCGAGACCCAGTGACCTAGGATCGCACGCGAGGGCTCGGCAGGCTCGGGGCTCCTCCTACACCCAAACGAAAAACAAGCGACCGAGCTCGCTCTCATGGGTCTAGCGAATGCGATAGAGCGCCTTACTCAACGAAGAAAAGCCCCCTAAAGGAGTAAACTCACTCCTCTAAGGCCTCAAGCTACACCCGAGGAGAGCCTGCTTCATGCGCACCCATCGAGAATCATGAGTATAAAAACAAACCCGACAAGAGCTCTTTGAGAAACAAAAGTCTCGAAAAAACCTCGGGAGAGTATCCCACACTCCCGCCCGAGGCTCGGGAACCTCTTGTCGGATACCGAAAATGGGGTACCCCAAGCAAAGATCAAACAACTGCTTAGACCCTAAGAACAGAACCAACGGAATAAACAAACGAGGTCTCGACCGAAATCTCCGATTCGCCGAGACCCGTCGCCGAGCCCCCCAATGAAGCGAACGATTCTCCGACTCGCCCGAGACCGCCTCATGAGGCCCCTCGCCGGGGCCTCGGAAGAAGTGTCGATTCTCCGATTCGCGAGGCCGACTCGGCACCAGACCCGTGACCGCCTCTTGACCAAACTGCTCGACCGAACGTCGTATCCAAGCGCCCAACCACTCCGGCAGGACTTGCGATGGCACGATCAATGAAGTGACCGACTACACGCCGATCGCGTCAACCTCACGCCATCTGCGGACGGCACAGAAGCGGGGTTACCGACCACTGTCTTGCCTAACTCCCTGTGCCAAGGACGCCATAGCAACGGGGAGTCGAGCGGGTTCCTGTGGCCTCGGAATCGGCGGACCGACCGCTCCGGCTCGCCCGAGCCCCCTCAACAGGGCCTCGGATTCACCGATCTTACTCCGCCTCACACCGTCCCGCCTCGCCCGAGACCCCCGGTAGGGCCTCTCGGACGAATTGGCGTGCTCTCCGCCCGCCCGAGGCCGGGCTCAAATCCCGCAACCTCGTCGCCTCCGCCTCAAAGGTCTCTCTGGCAGTCGTCGCATCCAATTAATGCGCCATTTGCACCGCTTCGTAAAGCCACGATCGGCAGCAGGCGCGCAGCAGAGCGACGGGACAACGGTCAGATCACCTTTTTTGCCATCCCTTACTGACAATACAGGTACCGTATCCTGTAGGCGCACGTCTCGCACTATTCCGCCTGATGACCGCTGGGACCCGCATCTGCACCTGGGTCACTTCTCAGGCCTCGGCACGGCAGGCCTCGGCACAACAGGCCTCGGCACGACAGGCCTCGGCACGACCGGCTACAATGGCCGCCGAGCCTCTGCAATCCACCAAGTCAACAAATGCGCAGCATGTTACTTGCAGTGGAGACCATACCGATTAGACATCTACGGGAACTCCCACGACGACGCCATGCTGCTCCAGGAGTAAATACATCATCGAATAGTCCTTGCTCCACGTGTAGCTCTCTTATGTACTTCTGGTTTCCTCCCTGCGGCTATAAAAGGAGGCGGCTAGGACCGTTTCTAGGGACAGCGGATAGAGTCACGAACACTCGCACGAACAACACGCCGCATTCTGTAATTCATATCACCTCCCCTCACAGAGACTTGGGGCGAACTCCCTCTCTCGCCTAGCTTGTAACCCCCTACTACGAGCACCCCGGTGCAAGGAATACAAGAACATCTTCTCAGACTGGACGTAGGGCATCCATTGCCCGAACCAGTATAAACCTTGTGTCTCTTTGCATCACCATCCGGAATTGGGAGCACGCAGCACAAATTCACTAGTCGGTTAAGGACCCCCGGTTCCGAAACACCGACAATCAGGTTCTGAATCTCTTGTTGGGCCATGTATGGGGACTTGTTGCACTAGTGTCAGATAAGAAAGGTCAAGTATTATAAATTGAAAGCGTTAATACATGTCAGTAAAGAATTGAGCAACAGGATGCACACCATTAGGCTTTCTTTTCTGCCACCAGATGAAATATGCAAGAAGTAAAATTACTACCAACACAGGAACCACTACTGAAATAGCTATGATAGCTACTTTATTTCTTTGCGGGCTTGGTGAAGGTTTGTTGCATACAGAGCCACCATCATGTCTGAAAGTATAGAAAATAGGAACTGGGTCTATTTCGAGGAGAAAATGTCTTAAACAGTAACTTGTTTGAAGGTCACAGTAAGAGATACAATACAAAACTCAGAAGCATATTAATGGAATGGATATTGAGAAAAAAAATCAAAACCTGAAAATAAGTGGTCCAGTATAATTTTTACATAGGGACTCGTCACTCAGCTGGTTGCCAGATACATTTCTGTAGAAAGTGAAAGGTGATTGGTAACGTCCTTGGGTTGGTAATAATTTGCGACAAATATACACTTACAGAACTTGTAGGGAAGGCAAACTTGGTAGGGAATCAGGTATTGACCCGCTCAACTGGTTGTAAGATAAATCTCTGAAACATTTGCACAACTATAGTAAGTCAAAAAGTACATAGATAATCGATTCAAACTCTACAGAAAAGGAATTTAACATATCAAGCTAGTAGTAGGAAATAAAAGCTCTGTAGTTCAATCATGGGAGTGGGAACATAGTCCTGACAAGTATGCTCTGGTACATCAATTAATTTTCTAATAGCATTATGTCCATTTAAATTTGCTGGATCCATTTGATAAAAACTAAAGAGCAAGGTACATTAAATATTGATAAATTAAACATAAAGAGTGATTCAATTCATTAATTCGAAAAGATGACAATGCAGTTATGCCAAACATGGTGTCACAAAAAAGGCTCTCCATTTAAGCCCTTGTTTTGGAGGGCTCCTCCGGAGGAGCTGGAGCCATTTTGGAGGAGCCACAATTTGTGGCTCCTTCGGAACGGCTCTGGCTCCTTTTTTCATTGAAAAACGGCTCCTCCTACTAAACCGTTTGGTAGGGCTCCTCCGTAGCCAGAGGAGTTACAGAGGAGCCCGACTAAATGGGGCCTAAATTTGCTAGAGCCCTTTGATAAAAACTAAAGAGCAAGGTACATTAAATATTGATAAATATAAACATAAAAGAGTGATTTAATTTATTAATTGAAAAAGATCACCATGCAGTTATGCCATACATGTTCTCACAAAAAAGGCTCTCCTACTATGCCTCATGCATTTGATTGGCAACTACAGATTCGAAATAGAACAAGACACGCACGAAAATGAGGTGGAATGTATGCTACTACAGTAGAACCCAACATATGTCCATAAGTTCTATCTCCTCAGTATAGAGGCTTGAGCTTGAGGAGAGTGGTTTATGGTACTATAGTTTTACAGAGGCCTGTAATCTGGATTCGTTCAAAAAAAAAAACTCTAGTGATCCAACAAACAAAGTTATTAGCGCAGAACACATAAACCAAAGAAACTGACTTATCATGATCCCAGGTAGTAGAATGGGATGGCCAGTCATGGAATGTGAACCCTTGGGACATAAACAATGAAAGCAGAGGACATTAGCCTGCTGTTATATAGCACTTACAAAGTCTTGAGTGCTGTGAGAAGCGTAAAATTCTTAGATATTGTGCCATGTAACGAGCTGTTGGAGAGATCTCTGCATGAGAATTTGTAATTCAACATAAATCAGTTATCGAATCCACTAGTAATATATTAGCACATACGAGATCATGGTGTACGACCTCCTCAATAATGTATCAGATGCTCACAGTGATGTAATCCTCGATGTGTTGCTGCATTTCACGCCCTCCCAAGTATATTTGGTTGGAAAGCATGGATCACCCATCCAGTTTTTCTTCACTCCATACTCGATTTTGATAGCCATGATGGCGTCAACTAGCATGCAAAAATATGGTCATGACTATGTTTGGGAAGTGGGTCTAATCACCTATACAAGAATTACAAAACAACTGCATAAACAAGAGAGGAAAAGGGGAACAATCAATTCGAATTAGTAGAATCTTTGACAAACCATTTTAGCATCCTGGCTTCAGACCCAGTTCAGTGCCACAGCCTTAAGCGACATTTAATCGAGCACGTTGGGTACAAGGGTAGGCGCAAGGTATGGCGCATCAGGTGGGCGTTGCGATTGGAAGCTAAGACGAAGGGCGCGCGCGGGGAAGGATGCTAAATCGCCCAGCTCGCCCCTGCCGCCACCGCCGCGTTCTAGAGGGTGAGGTCGTTGCCACCCTCATTGCCGTAGTCGCCGCCACCATACAGCAGGAAGGAGATGGAAGAGAGACATGAAACATGGAAGGTTCTTCCGTGACCGTGCAGGCGTGCAGCCATGCTCAACTTGTATGGAAGCGAGCAAAGCAGACTTACCCATGCTTGTACATACACATGTATTGGTATTGAAAGGGAGTTGAGTTTATTTATCCAAAAGCTTCGGTGGTATGGTAGTAGTCGATATATTTACCAATTAATTTGAAAATATGAACTCTATTTTTTTGGCATCCTTGTCCGAGACATAAGGGCCAGTGTCACATGTGATTTTTTTGCTACTGTGGCAAAGCATTTGATAGGACAGAGAAGAAAGTGTTGTATCATGTGGTAGGACAGATAAGAAAGTTGTATTATGTGGTTAAAAAAAACTCACGGGAAGTTGAACTTATAGGACCTAAGTGCTATTCAGACCACGAAACCAACTCAGCTAGAGGATCGTTCACTGTCATATGGTAGATATAACCTTGGTACCATACCCATACTCTCTGAACACAAAATCTAATGATGTTGATGTACTCTCGCAGACACAGTGCCACAAAAATTATTTATTTTGACATTTCTGTTTTTTTAGATAATTGTGATGACATCTATCCCTAATAATAAAGAGGCAAAATTTCTACCACTATTTTTTTCTGCCTTCCGTGTTTGTGCAGTTCACGTTTTACCTTGCTTTGCGTCTGTGTTTCGGTTTCCATCCTGGTCTCGGCTCGTCACAGGAGGCGGGTGAGCAAGGCGATGGTCCTAGAGCCCAGACCGGGCCTCTCTCAGCAAAATTTCTGCCACTATTTCCTCACCGCCGATCAGGCCGCTGCCGCAGGGTTCGGCTTGATATTGGACGGCTCTGTTCGATGGTTTCGGGGAAAGGATGAGAAAAAGAAATAGAAGATAAGGAAGGGTTCCAGGTGGATAAGTGCAAGAAAGAATGAAAAGGTGGGATGATCTTAATTGAATTTGAGGAACTCAAGGATTCCAGATGTAAAAATGTAGCTCACACCTCGGGCCTTTTGCTGCTGGGCTAGAATCGGGTGGTGTTGCATGTCGATGTCCGGAAAACACCCTTAACTGAACATATGCTTCATTTCCTAATTACATATCGTATTTAGTTCATGGTTCTCGAAATTCAAATTCATATAGTTCGATGACAAGAAGTTCGAGACCGTAAAAGAAATATTTTCAGCTGCAATAATTTAAATGACATCGTGACTATAAGAACTTTGCTTGAGACCGTCCAAACTAAAAGGCCTTCGAGTAAGCTGTGCGACAGTCCTTTTCGTAATTCTTGCACAGCATGACGACAAGATTCATGTTCCAGAAAAAAAATCTTTCTCAAACATTAACTTTGTGCCATATTTACTTTTTGCAATATATTAGAGTTGAGTCACATATTTGAGAAAAGTTATGATCCCACTGCTTATTAGTTAATAGATTAATAGATTATAAGTTTGCTATATCTTTTTTCTAGCAACACACGGGTATTTTTCCTATCACTAGGTAATTGTCCGTGCGTTACAACGGGAACACATAATACCATGGTAACATATGTATGAGTGCGTGATATACTATTACCTGAAATAGATACTGCAATAGTAGTGGAAAATAATGTGCATGTAACTACTACTATTGTTTAGAAGACTCTTTCTTATTATACTCACTCCAACTGCAAATGAAATCAATTTTTAGAATTATATTAATTAAAACTATTTTAGTTTTGATCATATTTCTAGAAAAGAGTATAACTATTATGACACCAAATTAATATTATTGTGATAGGTAGTTGCGGATGAGAGAGAAACACGTACTCTGGATGTGAACTATAGTAATCAACGGTGGAAGGTGAGGCACGGAGAAAGGTGAGGTGATCATTTGAGTTGAATCAAATCTATTGGTCTAGAGATACTATTATTTCTTTTCTCCCGTTGCAATGCACGGACTTCTTTGCTACACTACTACAGGATGGCCTTGTTGTCCCGGGCGGTAACGGCCTTTAGTCCCGGTTACCGCGCCGGGACAACGATCCCGGGACTAAAGGTGGAACCTTCAGTCCCGGGTCATCGAGCCGGGACTAAAAAGGGACCTTTAGTCCCGATTGGTGTTATCAACCGGGACTAAAGGCCCTCCAGCCGAGCAAACGTGGCCGCACCCTTTAGTCCCGGTTGGTAACCCCAACCGGGACTAAAGATTCCTTTTCTTTTTCTTTTTTTTGTTTAATTTGTTTTTAGTTCAGTTACACATATTTGTTTAATATATAATATGTTTTTATGTATGTATTCTACGCTGCTAATATAAATACACGCACGCATATAATTACATCTAATTCTCATCTCGAGCATTATTATATTCGAATAAAGTATGAAACTATATATATTATAGATATATATGTATATATACAACACTTTCATAATCTTGTTCTCGAAAATAACGATATCAATAAACATTTAATTTACATCATTTATTCCTTAGTATCAAAGTAGAACTCGTCGTTGGGATTTAACACTTTTTCTAGAAGAAATCCTGCTATTGACTCTTGAACTGCTTTGAGATAGTCTTTTTGCATGACCCTTTGTTTCAACCATTCAGTCTTGCATTTGAAATAAAAGGAAAAGTATTAATACATACATATATATATATTCATTTAAAAATAAATAAAAAATTGATATATATACGTACTATGAGGACATCTTTAGGAGTTCTTCTTATGTGCGCAGTGATAAATTCACAAACGTAGTATCCACACAAGTTATTACCTGGTTGCTGCCGCAAACACCACTGTACGAGAAGAAGATTATTCTCATCATCTCACACGTAAATTGAAGTACGATATAGTAATTAAACACGTGGGGAAGTATATATAGTATAACTTACTGGTATTTCAACTATATTAGGTGGTGCCTTGCAATCCTTGCGGTGTTGCCGAATAAACTCTTTCCAAACCCTGTGCGACCAATAATGTACGATCGTTAATAAATTATGGCAAAGTCTATTCAATAATAGTTGTGCGCAAGAGATCGAAGTTACCCCTGGATAATGTCTATCATATCTTGGTATAGTGTCCGCTCTTTTCTCAACGAGTCCAAGATTACTAACCGATTTGAGTTTAACTCAATGACAATGAGTATCCAGTGAAACCTACATTGGTTTATACACACACGTACATGCATATAAGTTGTATTGATATTACATAAAATGTGTAGACTATATTATTATTAACACTTACTCAAAGCTGTACGGAAAAAGTATTATTGTCTTATCGTGCTGCTTCACGAAGAACCTCATGATATTCTTCTGTGCTTCAGATACCCAATGCTCCTTGGCAATAATATCGGTTTTGAATACGATATAAGGATCAATGAAGCCAACACTGGTGTCTTGTATTCTTTGGAGCTCTGACATCTGAAATCTGTATATAAATATAAGTTACATGTGAGGATAATTATATATACGTACGCATGGAAGTGAGTTTATTAAATAAAAGTAAGAATCATTTACAAACAAAAGGAGCTAATGATTGATTTGTCCAGAGCGTCCATGTGGTATAGTTGATGCAATTCTTCGAAACTAATATATAAGATGTCATCGCCATGAAAGTAATGATGGTCTCTAAATCTGACAAAGATCCACTCCTCACCCCTGCCACACGCCTACATGTACCACTTGTTGAGCAAGTACATTTCCGTACCCAATTCATTCAGAGCCGCAGGGTTGTACAGACTTTTGCCAAATTTATAAATCTTCCAGGTATCAACTTACAGGTTCTGGATTGGAGCTTTGCCCATCAATTGATCCAAGGTTAAACCAGTATCTTTAGAAAAAGCATTAAGGTCTTGAACCGACACTTCTCTAGAGTTGTCTGGTCGATAGACTTCTATGTTGGAACCATATTTATTAGTAACAACAAGATTTTGCATTGGTTGCTTCTGTTGTCCGAGCTGTGGGACATCCTTCCCTGATGCTCTTTTCCTTTTCTTATCTGCATCATGTGACTTCACAAGGGAGCGGTCATAGTCTGATAGTGGCGGAGGCTTATGAAGTTCAAGCATCTTTTTCTTGTGATCTTCGACCTTCTGCCTCAGCAGATCTCGTGGTATGTAAAAGTACGGCTTCTCCTTAAGCTTCGCTTGTCTCTGCTTTTTGATATCTATAAAAAAATCTTTCATTTTTTTGTCTTCTTCAGCTGCTATTTGCTCATCAGTCTTTTCAGAAAGTATTTCTTGAGAAATAACTCTTTTTTCGGGGTCTTCTTTACCGCCGGGACCTTAGACGTCTCTGTAGTGCAACGCTGTGTAGGGGGTGGGGGCGGTGTTGGAGACCGGCGTGGAGGCGTTGGAGATCGTTGTGGAGGCGGTGGGGCCGGTGTAGGAGTTGGAGATTGTTGTGGAGGCGATGGGGCCGGTTTAGGAGTTGGAGATCGCCGTGGGGATGAAGTCGTCTCGCCCCCCGTGACACTATGATGATATGGGGAATGAATGATTGGGCTAGGCTCAGGGGAGACCCTGCTGTAAAAACAAGTTGTGAGTCAATTATTTTTAAAACTAATATAAAATTAATGGAAAATAATATTTCATTCACTTTCATTCGTACCTAGGGTGAGGTAGGGGAAGCGGTGGCTTCCC